CCTATTATATAAAGCTACAGCCTTTTAATCTCTAAAATTAACCAAACAGAGGTAAATACAGTATTCCTGACTGAGACTATTTATCTCCTAAATGCTTTCGGCAAAGCAGATTGCTCCCTAGGCAAGGAACACAATCCGGCGTTATTGTCACTCAAGTGGAGAGAAACGGGCCACTGGTGATTTGCTAAATTTTGCAGCATAGAGTGAGTTTAGGAGATCCCGTGAAATCCCAGCCACACACTCAAGTCCGCCTGTCCACAGTGGAAAGAATTTTCCTCCTCTAATTTCACCTGGTCCTCCCGGACTGTTTATTAAAGATGTATATTTTATATCAGCAGAGCATATCAAATAACTTCTTGGCAAAGGCAGCTGTACTTTCAGGATCTATTAAGATTCTTTGTGGAAATTTAAATACCTCTGTCAGGCAAACAAAATCATATCAGGAATCATAGAATTTCATTGCTAGAAAGAGAAATTAGATTAACCAACCCACACTCCTTTCCTAGAACCCTCAATAAAACAGAAGTAACATTTCAGCAGCCTCTTACTTCTGGTCTGAAGGGGCCTCACAAGAAATATAAATGAATTTGTAAGAAAGCAAGCTATCCTGAGGAAAGCCTTTCAATCTGCAAAAGTTGTGTATGGGGCAAGATTGGAAAATATGTAAGTATGTATTGCATATTAGAAGGCAGTGGCTATTTAAAATCAAAAAAGCCAGAAAAATCCAGTAGCAGAAACCATGACAAGTTCAACCCTGCTAAGCTTCAGCCCCTTAAAACATCCTTGTCCTTTATTAATATTTAGTAGAAATGTATAATTGCAGATGTGCGCTAGGTTAGGTTTTTATGTCGGGAGGCGGGCAAAGAAGACAGGTTTATTACAGCCATGAAATATTAAACAAGCACCAAAGAACAGTAGTTGTATGTCCTCGCCTAGCCAGGGAGCGGACAGGCCCGACCATCAGCTGCACAAAGGGGGCCCCTATCTGTTTACATTACCCCTGATTAACACCTGCGAAGTTTTGGGTTACATATTCCAGAGGCACAAAAGTCACATGAAGGCATGCATCCCCGGGTGGGCGGTTCTGTGAGGAGGGGACAGAGATGCTCTTTGCTTCCCCCAAACAAGTTTAACTTAGCCTTCGAAATTCTCTGCCTGGTTTAGGGAGGCATGAAAGAAGACTCGGAGAGAACCATTGCTTTGCTCTGAGGCTAAGACCTCCCTCTCTCTCACGTCTGTCTGCCCCACGGCTGAAGAAATTCAGCGCTCAATTCCTGCCCACCTAGTATTTCCCAGTGCTGCCTTACTGTTCCGAATGGAACCTTGACAAAAGCATGAAATTCCAAAAATTTCTCCCACATGGCTGGAAAAACATCAGACACCCGAAAAGAGTAAGACTGGGTGCAGAGTGTCTACCAGGGCTGCTCCCAGTTCAAAGCATGCACAAGACTATCCTAGGCTACTCTGGGTTTTGGGAGTGAGAGCAAAGGAAGTTTGGCAAGGATAATTATGGGACATGATTAATTCAAGTTTTGAAAATCATAAAGGGACAGAAGGGGGAAGCGTACTTTATCTTCCTTAGTATGTATTATCTACACATCCATCGTCAATACTCTATCGTTATTTGTTCTTTTGGCCCTGTTTTGAAATTTGTCCATAGCCACACACACCTATTACAAAGATAAATGGAGGATTTTGCAAATTGTTTTGAAATTTGCGTCATCCACATAGATTTAATAGATGTCTGAACAGGAATAAACTCAAACTGGTCGAGCACTCGTGTGTGTGTGTGTGTGTGTGTGTGTGTGTGTGTGTGTGTGTGTGTGGTGCCCCTTTTTTAAATCTCATCCTTCCCCTACCTCAACTTTCTGTGAACAGATCCTCATGAGCTCATGAAGAGTTTCATTATATAAAAGTTGTTTGGTGGGTTGATTAAGAAGTCAGGAAAAGCATAATTGGGAGAAACTTGTTTTCCTGTTATTAAAAAAAAAAAAATCATAATCGTTTGTCATTCTTACCTAGACTTTTCGAGAACTACAACTTGCCAGTCAAGTGCCTTCCCCTCCAAAGGGCACCCAAAGCCCATAAGAAAGACAAGCTGGCCACGTCCCAGCGGCTACAGGCCTCATACAGTTCTCAACGCTGATTCGTTCCCTCCAATCCAACACAGATCATTTTGTTAAATACCGACGAGTATTTTGTCATTGGAGCGAAGAATTTCAGAAACGTTGTTAATATTTAATCACATTAGTACTGGTGTATTTTATGGTATAACGAAATAAAATATCATGACAAAAATGGACTTTGGCTGAAAGGGGCTGGGAGGAGTAAGGAAGTGACTGGTGGGGCTAGAACCTAGAGAAAGAATATTCTAAGTCATCAGACGTCACTGCTCCCTGGCTAAAGGCACTACAAGGCACATTTTTAAAGAAAAGTAGAACGTGTTGCCTGAATTTTGTTTTCGGACTCTACTTCAAAGTGGCACACTTCACACTGATTTTCAGCCAGGGGACTCAGGGGCCTGTGGAAAGCTCTGTGTACCTATTTATACAACGTGTGCAGATGGAACTGCAGGGTGTTATCATAATGAAAAGTTTAATCATCCTTATTTACTACCAGTAAGGGAGCAGGAATCAGATGCACAAACCTTAGAAAGCCTCCACCAGCAGCCCAAGGCTGCAGAAGCTTGGAGTGACCTCAATTCGAGGCTTTATCTGGGAAACTGTCCTTCCCACATCAGAGTGGAAAACAAAGGAGGTCAAGTGGGTGTCCCCGCCAATGCCAACGCTTAGGAGGTGGCCAGCCCCGCTGGTCCCTAAGGAAGTCCCTGTCTTTGCATATGTGTGTGGGGTGGGGGGTGTGCTTCATTTAGTTTACAGGGGAAATCAACTCTAAAGTGATGAACATCTGTTTCCAAAAAATATTTTTGCTCATCTGACTGTAAAAATGAAACAAACAAAACATCTCTTTGATGACATTTCTTCATTCACAGCCTACATCTTCTTTCCCCCTGCCCAGTAAAGGAAGGACTGGCAAGGGGGCAGAAAGATACCTTTAGAAAAATTTCATTAAAACCACTCAATACTTCACCTAGGAAAGCCCTTTCAAAGATTAGATGGAGCCAGTGTTACTGGTTTTCTTTATTAATTCTCTAAACTGTTTTTTTTTTAAAACTTTTCTCACCCTATTTTGGTCAATATGTTCTTAATTACTGGAGAGGGGTGGGAGAAGGGGGAGGGGCAGCCAGGCCAGGTAGAAGTGACAGGGGCTGAGATCTGTGCTAACCAGCTATCGATCGCGCCAGATCGAGATGTTGTGTACAAGAAAATAAAAGAGAGGGGAGGAGGGGTGCAGCAAGCAGGATGGTGCGCCCCACTCCATTTTAAAAAGAAAAAAAAAAAAAGCAGAGGGTCCCAAACTAACCAATTTATGGCCTTGCCTGGGAGTAGCCCGGAGCATGCTGATGCCGGACGGTCGCAGCGTCTGCTGTGCATGCTAAACACCCGTCTTCAAATGAGAGCGCGCGCGTCCCGGCGTCCCGGGCTGGGCAGTAATGCGAACAAAGAGAAAAGCAGCAAGCTTGCTTTCATGAATTAGAAAACCTAAGGGGAAAGCTCCCCAGACTGGGCGCCTCAGAAGCCCTGATTTTTGAACCACCCAGCTTCCTTTCGTCTCCTCCTTCCTGACCAGCCCCCAGCACATTCCCTAAAAACGTACCCTCACCCTAACCCCAGGGTCAAGAGGTGGCTGGATGGAAGGAGGGCTGGGAAAAAGAGAGGGAAAAGACTAGCAGAGAAGGCAAGAATCAAGGAGCACCTTTTTTAAAAGACACGGTTAAACTGCCAGCCATTGGCTCCACAGTAATATTCTGCCCACTGCAACCCAGGGAATTCAACTAGGGTTTAAAAGAAAAAGATAAAAGGGGGGAGAGGAATGATGTTATCTGACTTTAAGGAGCTATTAGTTCTATTTTTGTAAAAAAAAAAAAACCCATTAAAATAAAATGGATACGTACTGCAGCTCTGTCACCTTTAGGTTTCAAAGAATTCTCACGACTTTAACTGGAATGGCGTGCCGCTCTGTCTACTAACCTCACCCCTCCCACCTTAAAGGCTTCCAGGCCTGGTGGGGAGGGGTGCTTAGAATGCAAAGGAGAACTGAGACTGGACATCTGTCACCAAAGCCAAGCGAGATATTGACAAACGCGGGTCCTTTGTGTCTTAGGAATATATATCTATACCCCTACACCCAAATGCTGTCCTCATGGACTGGTCTGGGATCTGCCAAGCAGATCCTGCCAGTTCCTCTATAGCAAATGTCAAGGAGATGTACCCTGAAAAGTAGCCTACCTCTTACAACCCCTACAGGTCTCCGCTTTTTTTTTTCTTTTCCTCAATGAAACTCTAATAGTCAAGAAGAGACAAAACAGCTATTCATTAGGAGCAAATGTCAAATGAGGCATTGCCTCCGAGTGAAGCTGCTGACGCCGGGGCTGGTAACTTTTTTAGTAAAGATACTGTCCCCTAAGAGAACTCCAGCCGGAGGCCGGCTGACTAGGAAAAGGTGGGAAAGCATCAACACAACTTTCCAGGTGTCCTGCCAGGAAAGGGGGCACACAGCTCCTAAGAAAGGGAACTGGCCTGAACATGGAGGCTGGGGAGGGGTCTTGTGTGGAAGGGAAGGGGCTTCCTTCTCTGTGTGCTGCACAGTGGGCTACTCAGCTAAAACTGGGTGAGTAGGGGGACGATTCTACAGTGAGTCTCAAACGCTGTCAGCGAAGTTCCTACCATCCTGCAAATCCAGAATCTACCCGGTGGCACTGGTGATGGGGCATCCCTGAAGCCATTTTTGGTAACCAATTAGGGGTCCCTAGCTCTGAGTTGGAGATTAAGAAGGCCTGTGCCCTCCTAACCATGAGGGATCCAGGGGCAGAGGCTAAGTTCTGCCCTGGGGTTAGGTAGGTCACAAGAAAAGAAAAGGGACCGCGTGTGCGAATATACCTTCTTTGCTGTTGGGGTTCTGGGGTTTGGCCTTTTCCCAAGGTGCCAGCGTCTTGTCATCCTCCGTGCCGTCCACCAGGGCCTTGTCAGCTGGCATGTACCAGGTGGCGCTGTGCTCTGCCATCAGTGAGTCCAGGTCGATGGTGCTCATGGCGCTCTTGACTGCCTCCGAGCAGCAGCTTCCCAGCTCATTGTCACCATTCTGCGTGCCTGAGGCCCCAACCGGGCATTCACCCTTCTTGCCACCCTTGAGCCCCAGGGGCTGGTCCTCAGAGATGCTGAATTGCTGCCTCTGCAGCTGGATCTGCGCCTGGAGGATCTCCAGAGGGTGGATCTCGTCCGGGGGTGGTGCACCACTGCTGCTAGTGGGGGTCCTGACCTGTTCCAGGCCCGGAGTGCCCGGATGGCCAGCACCCCCACCCCCGCCATAGCTGTCAGGGGTCGAGGTAGAGGTAGACATGATGCCCAGGCCAAGCGGGGGTGGAGGCGCCTTCTGTCCATGTTCCCCGGTGCCCACCCCTCGAGGAGGGAGTTTGGGTGAGCCAGTCACCAGGGGGCTCCTGCTGGCTTTGGCCAGGACTGGGGGGTTGTCGGAGCTGGACGACACCTCGTCCTCATTGGTGTAGCTCGTGCTCACCTCGTCGGAGGTGAACTCACCCACATGAGGCGAACTACCGTTCGACTTGGCCCCGCCGTCCAGGGATGTCATGAGGTCCGGCTGGTCCCCCAGGAGCAACTCGGCCCCTTTAGCCCAGGACGGCGACGTGAGTGCCTTCTCGTGGGGCGTGGGCGCCCCTCGAGCCTCGCTCACAGAGCTTCCCCCGACGGCCGGGCCTGGAGCTGACTGCTGTCCCGGGCTCACCCCAGGTGCGCCCCCGCTGTCTGGAGCCACAGAGTACTTGTCGAAGAAGGTCCCAGGGCTCACGTGACCACTGTCCCTTTTTCTGCGACCCCGTCCCCGGCCACCGCCCCCGGGGACCGGCTTGCCGTCGTTCCCCGATGTTGACTCTAGCGTGTAGTTGGGAGAGAGGCTGGTGCCATCCCCTTGGCTGGGAGGGTTTGACGGCCCTGAGGCTTTGGGGCCGCTGCTACTGGTCCCTGATGGGCCTCCGGGTCCTGGGGCCCCAGGAGCCGATCCCCCAGGGAAGTAATCCGAGCCTGGGTTGCCAGCCACCGCGGAACCGTCGGTGTCGTTCTGGCTCAGTTTCCTCTTGCCCTCGGGTGGGTTCTTCTTGTTGAAGGTCACGTTGAGGTTGGGGGCCCCGAGGCTGGCAATCATGTTCTGGCAAGCTGTGGAGAGCGCAGCCAGGCAGCTCTGGCCAAACAGGTTGTCCTTGGAGCTGGGCTTGTTGAAGGAGCCCAAGGAGAGTGCCCCCAGCTTACTGGCCGAGGTGCGCTGGCTGGGCTGGAAATCAGGCTGTGATGGGTACGCGCCCCCACCACCCCCGCCACTCCCCGAGCTGCCGCCGCCCCCGCCCGCGCTTGGGGGCGAGTTGACGCCGGGACCGCTGTGCGGAGTGGCTTGCCTGCTCCCCGCGCCAAAAGGAAAGCCCGGTTGACCCCCGAGCCCCTGCGCGGCGAAGTCTGGCGGTGGGGGCCTGCGCTCTGAGGATGCACTGGGCAGTCCCACCCCGGACCCAGGCGACTGCAACTGGCCCAGGCCAGCCAGACTGCCCCCGAACTGCAGGCTCGGCGAGGGCAGCGCGGGCACGTGGCCCTCTCCGGGCATCCTCAGCGGCTCCTGCAGAGGGCCCCGGAACAGCACCCCTGAGCCTCCGGGCGGAGGGGGAGGCGCCAGGCCGGGGTCATGTGGGCCGCAGTCAGTCGGCAGGCCCGAGCCGCCCATCCTGCGGGGCAGCAGGTCACCGGGCGGCGGGTGCGGACCTGGGAACCACGCGCTCTCCTGGGCCAAGTGCGGCGCCTGCTGCTCGAAGGTGCCCAGGCGCCCCGAGGCACCCGCGCTGGAGCCTTCACGCTCAAAGTTCGGCTGGGCCAAACCGCCCACTGGGCCGCCGTGGACCAGACCGCCCTGGCCCACGTCCCCTGGGTGGCCTAACTGGGCCAGATTGGGCTGGCGCAGCCGCTGTTGCTGATTCCGCGACGCCATCTGTTTAATCATGAGGGCCGCATTTTGGCGCTGCTGCTGCTGCTGCTGCTGCTGCTGCTGTTGCTGCTGCTGTTGTTGCTGCTGCTGCTGCTGCTGCTGTTGCTGCTGTTGCTGCTGCTGCTGCTGCAGGGACTGGTGGTCCGGGGCCGGGTGCTGGAGGGGAGGCCCTGAGGGGAAGCTGTCGGGTACAGGCGGCGTGAACTCGCCGGGTAGGCCTGGGTAGGAGGAGGGCGAGAGGTGGTTGTCCAGGGCTCCATTGTGCATGTTTCCATTCCACGAAGACGCGCAGCGGTCCACTCCCGCGCTGCCTGGGAAGTCGAATCGCGGCCTCTTGGCCACGTTCATGTAGGGGGGCGCGTCAAAATGCTGCAGCCGCTGGTTGGGCGCCTGCTGCGGAGGGGGATGCTGCATGTTGAAAACAGGCTCGGAAAAAGGATGCATGCTCCGGTTCTCCAGCCGGTGGATGGGGTACTCAAACTGCGCGTGCTGGCTGGGCAGCATGGGGCCCCCGTCCTGCAACCCTCCGCTGGGCGTGCCCGCCTCACCCTGCTGGGGCCGCGGGTGCGCAGGAGGGCACGAATTTTGTCGGACTAGAAGCCCGGGTGGTGGTGGCGGCTGCTGTTGGGGCGGTTGCTGCGGAGGCTGCTGCGGAGGGGGCGGTGGGGCCTGCTGGGGAGGCTGCATTAGCGAGTGCCTGGAGCCCACCCCGGGCTCCAGACTCACAGGCATCTTTCGGGCCCCACCGAACCTCTCGAAGAACACGCCGTGCTGCTGTTGAGGCTGCTGGGGTTGCGGAGGCGGCTGCTGCGGAGGCTGGGCATGCATTTTGGACAAGCCCACCATGCCCGCAGCTCTGGGCAGGGCCGAGGCACCCGGGAAAGTGCCCCCGGGAACCTGACGACCCGCCGCGTAGTGAGGCAGCTGCCCCTCTGAGTCAGAGGGTGAAAACATGTCAAAATGTCCCGAGGGCGCCTCGCCCGGGTAATTGTATTCCAGCGAGTCGACGGCTCCTTGGTTCGACACCCGCCGGGACTCGAGATTGTGAGACTCGGAGCCGCTGGAGGCGGGCAGGCCGTGGAAGGAGGCGGCCCGGTTCGGGCTCTGGTCCAGAGGCAGGCACGGGGCGGGTACGGCGTGGCCCGAGGCGCCCGAACTGTGGAAGTCCGGGAGGTTTCCTGGTCGCTGCGGGCCGAAGCTCTCTGGCCCCTGGCTCTCCGCCATGTGCTCATAACCCTCCGCGAAGGGCGGCTGGCTGCCCAGGCCGGCGGCAGTGCCGCCGTAGCCAAGCAGGCGTCCCCCATGCAGGCACGAGGCCCCCGGGTCCGGGCCACCGAAGTTGCCCCCAAAGTGGGGGTGATGTTGGTGGGGGTGGTGGCCTCCCGGGTGGCCGTGGTGAGGCTGCTGGCCGCCGAAGAAGCCGTGCACGGGCTGCGCCTGCAGCCCCCCTGCGTGCAGCTCCGAGTGGCCCCGCGTGTGGAAGCCGTACGGCTCCATGTTCATGCCCAAGATCGGGGGCTCGCCCAGCGCACTCATGGCAGGGTCCACGGGGCCAGGGGGGCCCCCCGTGTGGAAAGTAGGGGCCTTAAAGTGGGCATTCATGCTCAGTCCGGTCTCGTTAAAGTTCCGCTCGCCCTGGCCAGCGTTCCTGCTGTTTATCTGGGGCTCGAATTGGTCCAGCCCAAACATACTTGGCAGGGGGCAGGGGGGGATCAATAGGGCATGACAGCTTGCTCTCCGCGGCGCGCCTCCGGCCAGCGACTCCTTCCAGCCTCGGATTGGGCGCTCCTGGACGCTCGGCACCGCGGGGGCGCAGCACGCTCCGCCACCCCACCAGGCGTGGGGAGGCCGGGGGCTATCAGATCCTCTCGTGAAGCTCTGGATATGCCCGGGGCGGGCCTCTCACATCTTTCGAGGCCGCGGGGCCTCCAGAAGCCGTGTTGGGGGGCCCATGCCCCGGGCAGTTGGCGCAGCTGCGGGTGGATTTTCAGGGAGGGGACCGAGCCGCGGATGAACGCAGACAAAAAGTTAAGTGGGGGGAAAGGGGCGGGAAGAGGGGGTGGGAAAGCAGAGCGATCACCTTCTTAAGTCCGATCGGGTCGGTAGGGGAGCCCCAGGATGCCGCCCGCAGCCTCCCGGAGTCCGTGACGGAGCTGCTAAGGGCCGGGAGGAAGACCCTTCAAAGCCGCGGCTGGTGTTGGGGCACCGACAGCGCGGTCCCTCCCCCCTCCCCCCGTAGTCCCTCCGCTCCGCAGCCCGAGCCTCCGCCGAGCACGATCCGCTTGCACAGTCCCCGTCGGCTCCGGGAGAACAGCTGCTGCTGCTTCAGCGGGTTGGAGGTCCAGAGGCTTCGCTCCGCATCGCTGGTACCGGCCCCCGAGCCGAAGAGGCAGCCGGACTGAGGAGGCGCCAGGCGCCGGTGTTGGAGCCGAGGGTCTGGGGGAAGGCGCGGCTCCCGTGCCCGGCAGCGGGTGCGCTGCGCCCCGGAGCGCCGCTTCTCGGCCACGTCCGCCGCCTGCCGCTCCTGTCCGCCGCCGTTCGATCTCTGAGTTCACGGGAGTCTCCGCACCCGGTTGCAGGAGCGGGCGAGTACAGAGGCGAGGGGCTGGGTCGCTCCAAGGCTCCGGTTCCCTGCCTCCGCGCCGAGGTGCTTCGACAGTCCCCCCTCGGACCCAGGGAAGGGGGGCGTACGCGGGTTGGGGGCCACGCTGGGCAAGCGAGCTAAAGCGTTCCGACTGCGTTCTCCAAGCCGGGGATAGGGGGCGGGGGCAGCTCTGGGGGGGTCCGCGCACCCCTCTTCAGCCTGGCGCACGGGGGGGCTCTGCGTGGGGCGTTCCGAGGGTCTCGGCTCCCCTCTCTGTGTCTGCCTCTAGCCCAGCACCGGGAGAAGCAGCAACAAGTTTTGCATTTCAGCAATCAATTTCAGCCATTACATTTGCACCAATCAGCGCCGCCCAGGCTCCGGGGCCGGGGCGGGGCTCGCTCTTAAGGTGGTCCCGGGTCCTGGCTGCGGAGGCCCCCGCCACAAACCCGAACTGCCCTGGCTCTGGGCTCCCCAGCGCTGAGCTCGCCTCGGGGTCCGGCGCCAGTGAGCTGGGGGCGCGCCCTGGCCTCCAGGCGCAAGGGCCTGGAGGGGGCTCAAGCAAAGGGGAATGGCGGGAGCTTGGCTTTGTTCGCCCCCTCCCGGTTCACAGTGTTCCCAACTCCCCACCCCCAACTGAAGCAAGACCCGCCGGGTGGCAGGGGGCGGGGAGGTGGACCGTGAGCGGTGCGGGGCGCTCAGACAATGGGGTCGCCTGGCAAAGGCCCTGGACTCGAGGAAAGTCGCTGTCTACCGAGCTTCCCTTGAGGGGATCCCTCCCTCGGCTCTCCACTAGCGGCTCCCACGGTGGCCCATCCTGGGATTTTCCTGGAGGTTAAAGCGGACTGGGAACCCCGAAGTTAAGGTTCTGGAGAGCTGGGACGTCTGCTTCTCCTTCTCTAGGGCGCGCGCAATTGTTCCCTATTTCCAAGGTCTGGGGTTTCCGGTTCTCAGCCGCTGGCTTCTGCCCGGAGCAGCCAAGAGCACTCGGCCACTTTGTAGGGACATCGGATAAGCCCAGCGCCGGAGCTGCGAGCCGAAGCATTGGGGAACCCGGAGAAGTGGGTGCACCGGTCGGCCCGGACACCTGGCTGCAGCACGCCCCGCTCCCTCCCGCCCGAAGCCTCAGGCCCCCTGCAGGCGGGCGCGAAGTTGGCCCCCTTAAAAGATCAATTAAACTGAAGAGGCCAAGAAACGGAATTGGGTTGTGATACTAAAATCAATACGAGTAATTTAATATCTGCCCTGCTCTTTATGAAATATTTATCCCAATAATCTTAGTTAAAATGTTTAGATCTTCCTGATCCCCACCGAGGCTGAAATCTATCTTGCAATTAGAAGTTGGAAGTTAGAGGTGATGGAGGGTAGAAGTGTTTATTCTGTGTGTGTGTGTGTGTGTGTGTGTGTGCCCGCGGGCGCGCGGGCGCGGGCGCGCGCCCTCTCCTGCGGTCGTGCGTGTGTATGTGTGTTCCCTTCTAAAGTATAAGTACAGGAAGAGAGGAAAAGCTTTTAATTTTCTGTGCCATAAAATAGCACAAAATTTGCTGGCAGACTAGCATTCTTAGAAGAAAAGGAGAAAAAAAGAACTTTCCTTGAAGTGGCCCCGATATCGCTATTAAATCTAAATAAAATTAAGCATGGTGTATAAAAATGCCTTTTCCCCCCACAAAAGAAAGTGTTTATCGCCCAAGTCTGTCTAGCGTTTGCTAAATTGTGCATGAAATCTGAACTGAAATAAACGTTATAATAAAACCAACCCCTGAGCCCTTTTTATTTAAAAACCTCAAATTAAGCACGCCACCCTTGAGGGCGCGAGTTTGAAAGTTACCATGTCGTGTTCTAGCGGAGCCTTCGCTCCCTGGATTCCCCGGAGCGGCAGCCTGGGATGCAAGGCTCAACTTAGGAGGTGGGGGCAGGGGGCAGGGCCCTCAGGGACTTCCAAAGAAACACCCACGCAACACAAATGAAAACAAACAATAAAACCAAACAACTTTAAAACTCGGAAAGCCTAAGCAAGCTCAGATCCAAGGCCCTTTTGGAGTCTACAGATATATATATATATATATATATATATATATATATATATATACACATTTTTTTTTCTTTTTGAAATTAAAAATGAAAATTACCCCCACCAAAAATGGGGTCCATAAATAAGCATCGGGAAGAAGTATTTGTACAGGGCAGTGGAGTTTTAAAAGGATTTTTCTGCAGGATCAGGTTGTTGGTCTGTGATTAAATATTGATTTTGTGTAATTAGTTTTCATGTGAACTATCCTCTTGCTGATAGCTTAGAGGTTTCAGAACTAGAAAAGAAATGGAATTGGACATGGAAATTATTACTTAGCAAAGTGACAGGGAAGCGAAAGCCAGAGAAAAGACTGAGGCTGGACTGATTTAGGCACAAAGAAAGAAAAAGACCTGGGTAGGCCCCCAGTGACCCCCGCACCCGAGGGCTCCAGGGTCTCTGGGCAGAGCAGGGGAGACCTTGGAACTCATAGCAGGAAGGAGGGACCCTTAACGGGAACAGTTGGGAGAGGAGGACCCTACATGGGCAGAGGCTTATGCGAAGTCTATGACACCAGGTCACGTACTTGGCTCTAGGTTGTGGGTGTCTGGAGAGGGAACTACATGAATAGCCTTGTGTCTGGAGGGAATAGGGAGAAGTAGGGACCTGTCTGGGTTTCAGGGGTGGGCTGGGTGGGAAGAATAGCTCACAGGTCTCAGTCCAGGGAGCACTCAGCTGGGGCATGCACTGGTCTGAGGCATGATTTCACACTGGGTCATGCAGGGTCCCCTGCACACCTGGAAGGGTTTCCTGGGGAATAATTCTGTGTGCTCAGAAGTGGAGGGGGAATATTTTTCTGGGGCTGTTTCCAAGCTTTCTGAGGTGTGTGAGTATCTCAGAAGAGAGTGTGTTGGGGGCCTGGTTGTGTTTCTGTTCAGCGTATGTGTCTGGGTCCCCTTTCCTTAAGACTGAATGTGGCATGGATGTATAACACGTGCCAGCATTCGCATCCTGGCCTGTGTGAGGCAGGCGGGGCACCTGTGTGTATTATGTTTTTGTGCATAGTAGGTACAAAACATGCATGAATCTTTGGGTGCCTGTGTACCACGCATGCTGGTGCCCCCAGCCCTGTGTTTCTCTGGGTGTGTTTCTGTGTGTGCACGGCTGCTTTATCCCTTTTGTGCCTCTATCTCTGCTCTCCTCTTTTTCACTGCAAGTGTGAAGGTGCGTGTCACTGCTTGTGACCATCTGTGCCCGCGTGTGCCCTGGCACGTGCACCTCCACGGTATGGGTGTCCCGGCAAGTGCCTGTGTGTGTGCGTGCGCTCCACCTGCACGGGCCCTCAGAGCTTCTTCGAAACAGACACATTGCCCCCTAGCGCTCAGATGAATTCAAAGTCCCCGCTGGCCAGAGCCGGGAGCAGCAGGATCCTCAGGCAAGGGTCTGCCTGAGGGCTTGCCTCCCTTGTCCTCCCCCTGGCCCCAAGAAGAAATGGCACAGGGAGAAGGGACCTCATGGGCAGTGGAAGGAGGGGCACAGCTGACTGGAGCACCTGGGCTGGAGAAAAATGCTCCGAGCTGCTGGCCTGTGGGGCAGTGCCTGGAATGGTCCCCAGAGGCCGCCCAGAATGGGGCGGCAGTGAGGGTGAACTCCTCATTCAACCAAACACATGCAACCAGCACCTAACCCCTTCCACCCAGGGCACACCATCTGCACCCCTGCCTGTCAGGCTGCACACCAACACATACACTCACACTGACCTACAAGAGGCTGGGTCAACACACACACACATGCACACACACACACACAGACACACACACACCTCTCCGCAGAGGGCACCTCAGCACATCCCTGAGTGTGGCAGCCTCCTTCCGTATCCAGCTCTGTGTTGCCTGCCCTATAGCCATGGTCCACCTCATCCCACTGCAACCCTAGGAGTCAAGACTCTGAACCCATTTTTCAGATAAGGCTATGGAGCCTCAGCATGGGCAGCAGGGCTAGGTTCCAATCTGCTCACCCTAAGGCCTAGCTCCTAACAGCGGCCCGATCCTCCTGAAGGTCATAGTTAAAAGGGAAGGCTCAGCCCCACGCAGGGAACATGGGAAGCCCGCTGCCACT